GGCACACATCCTGGCTTTTGGCTCCGGAAAAGTCCCCTAAAATTTCCTGTCTACGCTGCAATAATTATTGTGACCCTGGGAGTCAGAACGTAAGCAAAATAAAGTTGACGTCATACAATACTTGGTTGGGAAAGTTCATCCTCACTTCGGGACAGTTGAAATTTATTTGAGGGGCAGTGCTGGGACAATAAATAGGAAGACAATATAATTTCGAGGTGTAGAAATGTGTACATATTACTTCATGGCGAAAGAGTTTGAAAATATGCTGACAGGGGGAATGGAATTGTTTTGCAGGCTAGGAAGAAATATAAAGCACCAGGCTCGAGGGGCAATCTATCATGCTACGCTCCATGTAAAGTCTAGACAGAGCATGTTTACTTGGCGACATCAGAATTTATTGCGCAAACCTTCAAACAACGGCCTCAAGTGGAATCCTGACGTTGACTTGCCAGAGGGGTAAAATGTGAGAGACAGTGGATCATAACATAAGGCCACATCCATTTCATTTGTTGGTTCTCGGATTTTTTTAGAAAAAATATGAAACGACAGGGCGAAAAAAAACACAGACCAAGGCATCCTATGATAGCCCCAAATGGCATGATAGGAGCCATGAAGTCAACATACCAGGCTAGTTTGTACTTCAAATCACTGCATTGATAGATGGACAAACTGTAACAACTCTAAAGAGAAGGGACCTCCTTTAACTGTTGGGACCAAAATATGAGCATTTGAAATGTTTTTTTTTTGCAAATCAGAAAAAAATGACGCTGGCGAATCCGTGAACCAACAAATTAAATTGGTATGGTCTTATTAGGATAAATATCCTTACGAATTTGGTCATACATTTACATGTTCGTACATCTACTATTAACTGCCCCAAGAAGAAGTTGAACCTGTAAATAGTAGATCACATTAGTATGCATAGTTTAAGTGTTATCGCTGCGCTCACTCAGTGGCTTTATTCGGTGATTATAGCAACTGACAAGGCTTTATCACACCATATTCACCTCAAGACGGGTCATTAATCCTATATCGCTGTATTCTTTTCCCCTGTTTATTCATGACCTGTACTTAGCCTCTAAGAGCATAAATAAAGGTCTTTCAGTCATATATTTGCATTATCACACGCAAATACACATGGATTTATCAAACGCATTGGTGCATGTCGTCGCATTCGGTTCAAGGTTTTCGCAGCTGTTTTCTTCGCGAATGAGTCAATAGTTGTGGGTAAATATTATGATTGCATGGGGATGAAATAATGCAAAGAAGGTGGACAAACATATGTTGGTGCGCATTTTGGAAGATGAAAACACCTAAGAGGATCGATAAATCCTGTGTAAGCATACGCTGCTACAGCCTTGTTCTCAGTTAAAAGTAGGTAGTGCCATGTTTTATGTGTTTACGTTTGAACCACCCCTTCTTCAAGTGACGTGTATTGGAGGCAGTTGATCCAGTAAGGGGTTGGAAAAAAAAGTTGTGTTTCCTGTTTCCCGACCGACCCTACAAAGAAAAAACTGCCGACCCTACTAGTATCCTTTTTTGTGTGTGAAACCCTGCAAGGGACATAGTTTTTTTTTAGCTGATCGACCTTTTCTAGCTCCATGATCTGACACCTGAGTGATGAAACGTTGTACAATCGGTTTTCCAACATTGACATTGAAAATATAAGTGTCGTCATGCAAGCTTTACTTTGTTAACCCGTATACAAGTATAAGTTGGATCACTAGAGATTGCCAAAGTCTAAAAAAGAAATTAATAAAAAAAAGAATATTTTTTTCAGGACTTAAACAGGAAACAACATTTTTCCTAGAAAAAAAAAGAAAGAAAAAAAAGAAGGTAATACCTACCGACCCTATTTTTTTTTCAGGACTGAAACAGGAAACACAACATTTTTTTCCTAGGCCTAAAAGAGTGAGTTGTGACCGTTGTTAAGTTACTGAGTCATGCTGAGTGTAAAGAAAAGTGTCCCGTACATGTAACAACGGTTCCCCCCACCCGTTATAATAAGTCTGCATGACAAACTCCACCTGTAACAATACAAGTGTCACTGCGCGATCAACCGATTCGAACTGGGACCAAAAAGGGGTCATACAAGCCACTGTATGCAAATCATAATGCACTTTAATTCGTCATTCATGGAACCCAAATCACTTCTAAGTACCTTCCATTTCAACCCATAAACTGGGGATATAAAATCAGTGACGAGGGCGAAAAATTCTCACACGCTATCTATACAATGTTATGGAGAAACAATAGAAGAGGTATACAGAGTGCGGCTTCTCCTTTGAGAGAGTATTGACCAACTGGGAGGGGCCTACCTTTGCCCACTTAGCAAACAGGTGTTACATGGCTGGTTGGACAGGGCAAAGTCCGACCTTATAATACCTCACTTACTGTACAACACCAAATCATTTCTCTAGCTTCGCTCTCAGTAACATAACACTAACAACTTGTTTTAAACGCTCTAAACGACTGTCTAGAAAGAAACATACTAGTAGGAAAGTTTCATAGAATGTATTGAATTTATCACAACTTATTAATCTATATCAAACATTGTAAATAAGACAAAGGAAAAGTGGTGACAGTTACAGTATGGTGATGTACTATATAGCTGACAGAGCCTATGTTGGGACGTCTGCCATTTTTTTTAAACAGCTACACAGCGAAATTGCTTCATCTCTGTATGTGAGCCAATATTTTATCGAACGTTACAGTACAGGCCTGGCTTCCAATTCCACAGGGTTAGAAAAATATATAATTGTGAATCTCTCAAAAATATTGGTACCTCTACGAGCACTTTTCTAGCATCACCATTACTTTCTTTTTGTCCCAAACCTACGTTTTTATTTTCTCTCTCAACGTTTCAAGTCGGACCGTTCTCTCTCTCTCAAACAAGTTATATCGCGTTGCCAGTACTGTAGCATTCCTGAGGGAGCAGAGCCTATCAATAAGTCTTATATTCGACACACAGCATTTCATCAGATAGTGGGACATGTTTGCTTATCGGGCTTGGCGGATGTGAGCAGAAAACGTGACCCATGTAACCTAACAGGCTAGCCTCTACCAGGCACCGCGGATCGCTGGAAAAAATAGTAGAAATTGGCCGAAATAACGGGATAGTATGCCAGAGAAGATCCCGGGACATAGAACCGCGAATTGGATCTTCTATGGCCCGGGATCTTCTCCCTTTATTTCGGCCAATTTCTACTATTTTTCCAGCGATCCGCGGTGCCTGGTAGAGGCTACGTACAAGCTACAACGGGGAACAAGTTACGTAAGTAACTATTATAACTGGTACACGTACTGGTACCTACACACATCTTCATATCACCCGGTTATTTCACTTATTATACAAACGTATTCGGTTAGCCGATGGTACACACCCGCAAGACCACGAAAAAAACTTGAACTCTAGCCTAGAAATAAGAGATATAAGTAAAGACCATATAACCGCTACGAGTAAAGTAAATAGAACTCTGCTACACATAAATTTAGTCTAGTATTACATTATTTTCTGAGAAGGCTACCAACATATTATTGATCATTATTATCATATCAGGTTGGTCCGACTGTATGACTATATATCTGCCCCCACGCTTCCCTTATTAATTATCAAAATCCCACGATTCAGATTACAAATGACGATTAGCAATCACGGGAAACCTGAAGTTTTATAACAGTCCATATCTCCGATATCCCTCTTTTGAAATCACGAGCTAAGAATTATTTACAATCTCCCAAAGCCCCAAAGATTGTCCTTTCTGTGTTTCATTGAATGAAAATTATCGTACTCTATATGATACAAGTTTTGTTTTTCATCTACCATATATATAGATACATATGTATATAGACTATGTATATCACAATGTGCAGGCACGAATGCTATTCATGGGATGAGGACAAAGCTTTAACGTATTAATCATCTGAAGGCCTATCGAGATGGGGATCAATATGCTGGCTATTAGCGCAAATAAATGGGATTGAAAAGCTCCAGGCGAAAACGTTAATCGAGGGAGGGGATGTCA